GTTGCTTAATGAGCTGGCTGGTCATAGGGTTGAGAAAAGGACTGGAATGTTTTAGAGTCCTGTGTGGGTTTTGCTTATGCATATGTATGCTTTTTATAAAATAAATATTTCCTGGCATGAACGATTTGAAGCAAAAAATTTTCCATTAATAGTTTGTTATTAAAATAATTATTTAATTATTAAGCCCTCGACGAGAGTCCAGCTTTATGGTAAACATGACAGAAGATAGAGCTGGCTCAGGGCATGGCCATATGCTGTGCTTCATGGCTTATCCCCGGCTCTCACTTGCCGTGTGTCCCCTGTTTGAGTGTCTTAGTTTTCCCACTGGTCTTAGAAATCAGATATTGGAAATAAAGCCATGGCCACAGTGCCTGGTCTATAGTAATCACTCAGTAGAAATTAGTGATTTTTTTCATAATCACAATATTCTTATTGTATTTTAAAATTAGTATTACAATAGTATTGTATTATTATAATAATATTATATTATTACAACAAACGGTATTATAATAATAAATAATTATCAAGTGCCTTCTGTGTAGCAGGTACGTACAGAAATACAGAAGTAGTTCCAGCCTTCTGGTCATGCTTCTGGCCTGGCCCGAGTAACCTGGACAGCAGGCCTTTAGGGACTGCTAGGTCCGCGCTCTGCAGTCTGTAGGATTTTCCAAGGCAGAGGTCTCTGAGGAGCTTGGGTGAGGCTACTGGGGTCAGGGGGCCTGGAGCAATAGTCAGGACATAGCCTGTGAGACCGGGCTATGTCCTTTGTGGACATGGTAATGGGGAGGTTGTCAGCTCAATGGAGCATATGGCTCTGGGGGAGAGCAGTGAGGTTAAGGCAGGTCTGTACCTGACCAGGCAGGAAGGGAACCTCCATTTGGAAAGGAGCCCTTGGGGTGCCCTCACCCCCATCTCGCTACCTGCTCCATGTTTCCCCTTCCAGGTGCACTGTATCAGCACAGAGTTCACCCCGAGGAAGCACGGGGGTGAGAAGGGAGTGCCTTTTCGAGTGCAGATTGATACATTTAAGCAGAACGAGAATGGGGAGTACACCGAGCACTTGCACTCCGCCAGCTGCCAGATCAAGGTGTTCAAGGTAGGACAGCCTCATCATGCCCGCCTGCGGTCACATGCCCACTGATCCACTTGCACTCATCCGCTCTGGACAGCGATGCCAAAACGGTCTCATGATTCCATGTGGAGGCCCAGCAAGGAGCTCGGCATCCCTTAGCCCCAGCTCCTGCCTTCACTCCTGATGAGCACAGGCGTTGTGTCCTGGAATGACAGCCTGCCCACTGTGGGCATCGAATGTGGCACCTCCTTAGCTTTTATCATCACTGATGTCGGTGCTCTCCTCTGCTTTACAAAAATGATTGGATTTACACGAGTTTAGATTTTCGTTTTCCTCTCAAAGAAACGCTTGGACTTTCTCATGAGGAAAGACAGAGGCTGTGCTATTTATCTCTCTAGCACCTTCCACAGAGCCTGGTGCACAGCAAGCACTTGGCAGTGACTTGGGAAGCATGCCAATCACCGCAGCTGTAGGAGAAGCAGACCCAGAGCTGATGGGTCTGTACATAGGAAACCACATAGCCGGGCTGCTGGCTCATTCACAGTGATAAGATCTGGCCGCCTGAGGCCGTGGGCAGAGGATTCTGAGGCCTGGCTGGGTTCTGGATGGGATGCTTTGGTCAGTTAGTGATGCTGCCTGGGTGAGAGGGAGAGGTGGTGGCAGGAGCGTGAGTGTCTTTCCCGACAGAGCAGCAGCAGCCTTTAGATACCTGCTTTAGGATTCTGAAGCCTTGAAATTAACCTCCAAAGGAGGCTGAGCGTCTTCATTCTGTCTCCTGTTGCTGCTGTAACAAATTACCACACATTTAGTGGCTTAAAACTACACACATTTATTGTCTTTCAGTGCTGAAGCTCAGAGTCTGAAATGGGTCTCACTGGGCTAAAGTCAAGGTGTCAGCAGCCTGCATTCCTTTCTGGAGGTTCTAGGGGAGAATCTCCTTACTGGTCTTTTCCAGCTTCTTCAGGCCTCTGCATTCCTTGGCTTGTGGCCTCTCTCTCCATCTTTAGAGCCAGTGAGAAGGGACTAAATCCTTTTCACACTGCATCACTCTCCCCCTCTTCTCCCTCGTTCTTCCACTTTTAAGGGCCCTGTGATTACCTTGGGCCCACTGGGATGATCCAGGATAATCTTCCCACTTAATCTCACATTGTTAGCAGCCTTAATTCCATGCAACCTTACCCCTTTTGCTGTGGAAGGTAACATCCTCCCAGGTCCTGGGGGTTAGGACTAGTTCTTTGCTGAACTCAGTGCAGTGATATTACAGCCTCTGGTCTTACTGCCCGCTCCCGGATCTCGTGATTCTGGCTCAAGTGGACATCTCTACAGCCGTGCTGCTGGTGGCCTTTCCCAGTCCTCCAGGGACACCTCCCTCCCCGTCAGGTACAGACCACATCTACCCTAGGTAGCGGTTCATTTCCCCATCCAGGGACGTCCAGTGTAATCCACTGCTCTAGCAGTGTGTGCCCTGGAGCTCAGACACCATGCTGGGTAGCAAGACAGGGGATCAGGGTGGGGTTTCTATGCCCGTGGAGTGCCCAGTCCTCCCCATGGCCTCCATTAGCTCCCCTTGCTGCACCTCGAGGCAGAAGCTCAGCAGTGAGGGCCTTGCCCACCAGGCTCCTTGACCACACACCAGGTGTTAATTGGGGGACTGGGCCCAAAGCTGCCATGTCTGAGTGACCCGAGGAAGGCCGTGTCACCTCCTGCAGGGGAGTAGGTGCCCCTGTCTCTGGAAACTGGCTCCTCAGAATGCCTGAGGAAGCATGGCCACCCATCTACCCATGCCTGTTCACAGAGGCAGGTCAAATAGGTATTTGGAAGCACTAGCCAAACTGTCTATCACTCTCCCACCTTTAGTCACCCCAGCTCCTGGGAAGCCCCCAGCTTCCTGGAGTTATGCCCTGGGCTCTGTGTGGGGTATCAGGACCTCTGAAATGGAAAGCAGGGCCCCTCTCTGACCAGCTAGCTCCCCACAGGTGTTCCTGGGGCTGAGTGCCATCCCCCGCACAGGCTTGGCCTGCAGTTATGCCACCTTGCTTTGTGGCTTCAGAGCCTCTTCTCAGGAACAGGAGCTTAGAGGTGGAGCAGTGATGGGTATGATGTCTTCATGCCTGGCTCTCCTACTGAATGCTGACATTGTCATTCATGTCCCTATACGCCCCCCTGCAAACCAGCCTCTGTCCAGTGTGGGCATCATTCTGAGCACTGTTTCCTAAAATCTCTTGAGCTGGGAGTTAAAAGCCGTGCCCTGAGGAAGATGTACACAAGATAATTCTTGAAGGTGCCTTTGAGCTTGAGAATGAATTTTGTTCACTGACTGCTCACCATGTGTGTTCTGCTGTGTACATAGTAAAACTGCTCAGTCCTGGGGCTGCTTGGGGTCTTGATATCTGAACTCGCCAACCCTGCTGTGAACTTCCAGGAGGTGAGAGTCCAGAGGTTCCCATCAGCCAGCCTGCTGGGGCCAGCCCAGTGGTGTTGCATACCTGGGCTCTCTCATCTGGATTCTGTACCTCGTCAGCACTTGGTTCCTCTTTAGTCTCGATGAATCACTTGAGCCTCAGTTTCCTCACCTATAAATGAGGGGAATAATAGTACCTGTGGGGTCCGGACACCTGTAAGTTCCTCGGGTTGGCTGGTGATCCGGATAGGCTCTTACCCTGTGAACGGAGCATGAGCTGGGAGCAACAGGAGTCCTAGGCGTTGGTTGTATGGAGGCCTTCGTGGTGTGGCCGGGACCTCACAGCCTGCAAGCACAGACCAAACCCTGACCGGCAGCCCCTAGCTCTTCTGGTTCCCTTCGCTCTCCATGGGTAACCCCAGGAATGCACTGGGATTTGCTCTGGTGCCTGACCTCACGTAGGGGAAGGATTTCAAACAGTAGGGCCACATGTTTGATGACTGGGAAGCAAGAGAGATACTAACTCGTCTGCGAGGTCCTGCCTGGGCTTCTGCACCCTGGGTAAGGCAGGAGTTTGCCGGCTTTGGGGGCTGCTACTCAGCCCTGGATCTTCCATCACTGTCCACTTTGGACTAATTGGACCCCTGTGCTCTGCATTTGTAGCCAAAGGGAGCTGACCGGAAACAAAAGACGGACAGGGAGAAGATGGAGAAGAGAACTGCCCAAGAGAAGGAGAAGTACCAGCCGTCCTATGAAACCACCATTCTCACCGAGGTGAGCTGGCCAGGTACTGGGTGAGCCTCCCAGGGCCTTCTGCCAGCAGTGGGCCAGTGGCGCTGTCGGGTTAGAGTCTTCAGAAATTGCCCACCTTGGGTGAATGCTTCTTTTGAGAGTGAGCACCCATTAAATTGTGGTGTATTCCTGGGTCTGGAGCTGTGTTCATCTGATAAGGCCCAGCAGCCGGGAAGGTGTTTCAGAAATAGCTTAACACTTAGCTGCCATTTGCACTTTTCAAAATTAGGGTATTACTTTTTCTAATAGGTAATAGGTCCAAATTTCAAAGGTATCAGAACATCTCTCTCCCAATACTGTCCCAACCTCTCAGTTTCTCTTCTTAGGGCAGCCAGCATCTCTGGTTCCTCCAACTTTCTCTGCAAATAAAGCTAATTCATACAATTTTTTTTTTTTTTTTACACCAACAGCATACATAGGTACACTGTTCTGCAATATCTGTTCATAAAGAGTTTTCTAGTTCTTTATCTAGCTGCGTCGCCTTTGTTGTGTGGATGGCCTGTTTGTGGACCCTTGGTTGTTTCCAGGCTCTTGCCTTTTCAGACAGGGCGCTGTGAATAACCTTGTGCAAAAGAAGTTCTGTACATGGGAAGAATGTCTGCAGGGTTCCATTCTTGGAGTGGGACTTCGGGGTCAGAGGATGTGAGCACTTGCTATTTTGTTGTTTGGATAGATATTGTAATACATTTTCTGTTAACCCTGATGCCAACACCCACCTGCTCCAACCATCCTACTGTCCAGGGTACTTCTGAGATGCTCATTATCATAGGCCCTTTTTTCTCCTGTCATCACAGGTCTCTGCTGGTGCCGCCTCTTTTACCTGGCTGTTTTTTTGTTTTTTTTTTTAAACAATGATTCCCTGCTGCGTTCTGCAATCAGGCCAGCTCATAGGTGTCGATGTTTGGTCACTGAATAACTTGACTTGCCCAGAAGGCTCTCTACAGAGGCGTAAGGCCCAGAAGTGTCCATAGCGGAGTTCAGGCTGTGATAAGGGTGAGGCCTAGGCACAGAGCATCTTAAGAGGTCAGCGGCCTGGTTCTTGGTTCATGAGCTGTGTGTGCGTGCGTGCATATGTAATAAGCCATATACTGAAGAGTATTTGCAACAAGACAGTATAGAAGCTAATTCTGTAGCACAGACAAATGTATACTGGAATTTTATTTGAGGATAATAGTGGGCAGAGAGCCCTAATGCATGACGAATGCTGCCCCCACCCCCACTTTGGCAACAAAGCTGTGCCAGCACCACACCATGTGGATTCGAGCTCAGATCAGTGAATTTTTTCCAGGACTAGTTCCTGCCTGTGCTGGTGACGCCTCCGCGTTGCCCTCCATGCTCCCATTCCCCTTCCCAGCTGAGCCTCAGCCTCTCCACCCCTGACTCTCCTGTGATTTCCTCGGTGGTGGAGAGGTATGTCTGCTTCATGCAATAGCCATCCAAGTCCTTGTCACAGTGTGGTGTGGTTGGTTGAAATCCCCACCTGGTCCATGACCTTGGAAGGTGACGGCTCCCGTTGTATCAGCTCGTCAGCTTTCCTCCTCCAGGATTTACACCGCCAAGTTCCAGTCCATGCTCAAACCACAGGTAAATATTTACCAACCCAGTGGTTCGGTGGGTGACAGTAAATCTTTAGGAGTGTTTCAAATTAGCCCTCTCCAAGGATGTGTCATCACAGGGAAGGGAGGAAGTGAATACTTTGTTCACTGGCTTCCCCCAACAGGCCAAACCTGTATGTCTTTGCTTTATTTGGGACACTTTCACTTGTGTTCGTTTTTGGCTTCTGCAAAAGCAGTTCCTTGAGGTCGAGGATCACATCTTCGTGTTTCTGTGTCTCCCTTAGCTCCTAGCAAAATGTCTGCAGTGTAACAAATACTCAGGATTGTATTGAAGAGCAGCTGCTCTTGATGAATGTGAAAGTGCCTCTTCTGTCTACTGAGCCCCTCAGCAGATTCTGTTTTCAAAGAACACAAGTTTTAATACCGAACTTCACTGATGATTTTTTGTTTGGAAGTTGTCTGTGCTCCCTATTTCATGCGTTTACACCCATGTATCTGCACCAAGAAAATTTATTTGTGAGCAACTGGCCTGTTGTGTTTTTCTCTCTCTCGTGGGCCCAAGAATCATGTCGCTAATGATGTTTCACTCTTCGGTTTGACTACTAGGAGGCTCACAGAGACACATGTCATGCTTTGCTTGCACCGAGTAAGACCTAATGAGTCTCCACTGCTATATTTGATTCTTTGGTGTGGCCCTAGTAACCCACCTATCCTGGGTCATGCAGACACTGGGTAAATGTAGGTTGGGTGTTGAAAGATTGGTGGTTTCACACATTGGTGGTTTCACACAGTGGATGTTGGCTTGGAAAGGCCTGAGGCGCCTGGAGTCCGCATCTCAGCAGATCCAGCTCCTCCTGAGTGTCACTGCCCTTAAGTCACCACTGTCCTGTGCTCTCTTCCCGCAGTGCTCTCCATGGCCCGACATGGCCTACCAGGTGAACAGCGCTCCATCCCCAAGCTACAACGGCTCTCCAAACAGCTTCAGCCTAGGAGAAGGGTATGTGTCATCTCTCTCCCTTTGGACTCCCTGGAATGGTGATGGGCGTGGCTTCCTTTCCTGGTCTTCCTCTCTGTGTCTTTTCTCCTTTTGTAGCCTGGCATCGATTTGGGTTCCAGGGTGGCTAACTGGTGTTGTATTTATAACCATTTTTAGCTTTTGTGCAGCTTTTTGTGTATAAATTCACTTATAAATGTTGTCGGCTAGGGTAGCAGCCCAGAGCCCACCCTTCCTTTCTCCCTCTAGTAAAGGTAGGGCTGGCCTGCGGGGTATCAGGCTGCCAGGCAGAATGACCTGCCTCCGAGACAGGTACGGCCTTGGAGGTGGGCGTTTGGGAGGCTGCAGTAGTTGCCAGGGCCTTCTTGGATCTTTCTGCAGCCCTTGTGCACATTCACTGGGTAGTGTAGGTCAGCTTAGGATCTTCCTTGGCCTGGGTTTCAGGGCTTCGAACACAGAAGTGGCCTCACTGTTGGTCATCCAGCCTCACTGCTGGTTATCACAGGCTGTGCTGACTCCAAGGTAACAGGAGTGCAGGGGCTGGTAGAGAGCCATCCATCCCGTTCCAGGCTGTGTGGCACAGGGCCCATGGCATCACTGCACATTCTGCTCCTGGGGGCTGGGGGAGTTAGGGACAATGCCAGGCGGGTTCAACAGCTGAGTGTGCGGGTTCCTCAAAGCCCACGCTTGGCTGGCAGAGAACTTTACTAATGGGAAAGCAGGACATGCACTTGATTTACAAGGTGAGAAAAGTCCTCTGGGTGTGTATGTGTGTGTGTGTCGGTGTGGGTGTGGGTGTACGTGAGGGGAGTAGGAGACAGAAGAGGTCATATTTAGATTCGGGCACACCCAGTTTTAGATCTTCACCTTTTGGGAGTAAGTTTGTTGACCACCCTTAGCCTCAGTTTCTCCACCGTAAAGGGAGTAGGAATTCCATGCAGGGTCGGGGGAATGTATGTGGAACACTCAGTGCTCCACAGACACTTGATGGAGTTCAGCTGTTTTTACTGACCACTGGTCTGAAGATCATCCCTGTGAGGGTCTTTTTGTAAAATTTCCCACTGTAACGTTTTTCAGTGGATAGTTCAGTGGCATAAAGTACATTCATGTTTTATCGTCACCAGTGTCTATGTGGGAGAGTCATCTTCAAATGTGAGCTTTCTCTCAACTTAAAAACCCAGGTGCTGGGCCCGTGCCCCCCGATGAGTGAGCCCTGAGGAAGGCTGGTGGGGTGGGCCTCCCCGTGGGGAAAAACCATAACAATGGTTTTCTCGCGGATGATGGAAAACTGTGGGTGCTTGTTCACTGCACGGTAATTCCCCGAGGGGTGCCTCTGCCCTCTTCTGTTGCCACAGAGGAATGTGTTCAGCTGCCCCTTTGGCCGCTGCTATCTAACGCGGCCACCGTGGGCACTGCCAGGGACGCCCTCGTCCATTGCCCCTCCCTCGGGCTGAGGCTGGGCTGGGAACTCCCAGGGGAAGGGAATACTGACCAAAACAAACTCCCAGGGGATGGAGGGGTCATTGCTGGCCAGGAGAGTGTAGCTAATCAGAACTTCCTGTCCACACTGAAGAGTTAATTAGAGATTTGGAGGGATTGGACGGTGGCCCTGCCTTTATTCCTTTGACTCTGGAAATTCCCGTTTAAAACAAGTGTAGAGCCGAGGGAAGTAGAAGCAGTGGGCAATGAGGAGACCTTCACCAGCCCCAGAAGGCGCTCGCCCTCACCACCTTGTTCTCTTTGCAGCAACAGCTCGCCGGCCCATCCCCACCTGGCAGAGGCCCTGCCCGTGAGCAGTGACGTAAGTGTCTGCGGGGTTCTCTGGTGGCCTGCCTCTGCGCAGACCCTGAGTTGTCATTTCAAGGCCTCCTCTCTCTGTCTGCAGCACCTGCTCCCGTCAGCATCGATCCAGGACGCCCAGCAGTGGCTCCACCGCAACAGGTTCTCACAGTTCTGCCGGCTCTTTGCTAGCTTCTCAGGTAAGTGTCCCTAGGTTGTATTTAAAATCTGCAGGGACCTTGGAAACACTGAGCAAGGCCAGTCACCTTCCAGCACTTGCCCTCAGTGCCTGGGGCTGTGGTTCTGTTTGGGGACTTAAAGTAATGTGAGTCACTTACACTTGCTGGCCTTGGCCAAGTGCTAAGATTAGAGGCCCCTAGAAGTTTCCAGTCGAGTGTGGTTTGAGGGGAGGCCCTTCTGAGTACCTTTATCAAGACTTCTGGGGCGGGCTTTTGTCTGCCTGGGTACGGTCCCTTAGCTAAGCAGGCCAGTGCATATTAAACAAGCCTCCTTGGCATTTGTCCTACCAAAATGATGCTCATCATGTTGTCTCCAGAGCCATGACCTGGAAGGTGGAAGTGAAGCCACAGGTGAGAAGGGAAAGCTGGTTATTCCTTCTTAAAAGGTTTTTGAAGCCCTTACTGATGGGTCTGTCAGGCAGAAGCCTTTAGCCAGCGACTGTGGTATGCCAGGATAAACTGTGCGATGAGCCTTGCCACTAAGTAGAGTCAATCCAGGGTGATGGGGAGTAACGATCTGACCAAAACTGGAGAAGTGGCTCTCAAGGACATCTGTGGCCACTAAGTAGAGTCAATCCAGGGTGACAGGGAGTAAAGACCTAACCAAAACCGGAGGAGTGGCTCTCAAGGACATCTATGGCAATGTTTTAGGGGCAGAAGGTATGAGGAGGGTCAGACAGGGTGCCTGTCCTCAAGGAGCTTGCATCTTTGAGTCAGTGCAGACATATAAACCTCCCACTTCAATATAGTGTGACACGTTTGATAGGCAGGCTCAGAAGAGGGACTTGACCTGTCCTGGACAGGGAAGGAGGGAAGAGAGTTGGCTGTGGTCTTGAGTAGAGTGGTCAGGGTAGATCTTAGTGAGAAGGTGTCATGAGCAAAGGCTGGAATGAGGCGAGCAAGTGAGCCAAGTGGTTACTGGGGTTACAGATGGAAAGTGCAAAGGCTGCAAGGTGTGGCCATGGAGCAGAGGACCCAGGTGACTGAGGCTGAGTGGACCAGTGGAGGAGGGGAGGTCAGAGAGGCATTGGGCTCTGGTGGGACAGTGGAAGGACTTTGGGTTTTACTCCCAATGGAAAGGGAGCCATTGAGCCAACAGAATATATTACAGAATATATATACAGAATAATATATTAACTGTGGTAGGAAAAAAGAGATGGAAATTGCGGCTCTACGCCATGTGGCTGTTGGTCAGTTTTCAGCAGAAGGCTGATATCATACTTGTACCTTTGAGAGAATCCACATGGTCACAAGGCTCTAGTGCAGCGGTCACCAACCTTTTTGGCATCAGGGACCGGTGTTCCTATGAGAATCTAATGCTTGATGATCTGAGGTGGAGCTGAGGCAGTGATGCTAGCGCTCGGGAGAGGCTGCAAATACAAATGAAGCTTTGCTTGCCCATGGCTCACCTCCTGGTGTATGGCCCAGTTCCTAACAGGCTACGGACCAGCACTGGTCCCTGGCCTGGGGGTTGGGGACTCCTGCTCTAGGGGACTCCTTGGCCTTTGAGGAAAAGACTGCATCCACATACAAGGATATTTATAGAGACTTATTCAAAATAGTCCCAAGTTGGGAGCACCCATCGGCAGAGAGTAAATACATAAATTGTGGTATATTCATGCAATGAATAATATCTAATAATGGGCATGAATGGTTTATAATAGGAAGAAACCCTTAAACTGAACTTGGAGGCATAGAAGAGTACATACTGGTCAATTGCATTTACATGAATTTCAGAAAACAAGCAAAACTCATCTGTACTGTAAAAGGTCAGGAAAGTGGCTTCCCAGAGCTGGAAGAGGGGCTGGTGCTAGGGGTCCAAGGGATTCTGGGAGTTTCTACCTCTTGGTCTGCGTGCATGGGTGCATTCAAATGGCTGCGTCTGGTGAGCTGTGTATTCTTATACAGACAAGTGCACGTGTAATCAAAACCACATGCCCATGAGGGATATGCACATACATTATATCCCAATAAAAAGTACAGAGAGAGGCGTGGGCAGGCACAGGCTTCTGTAAAAACCCATCTGTTGTACTGAGTTTTGTGAACGTCAGTCGTTTAGCTTCTGAAATCTCTCGGGCTGTGATGTAATGTTTAGTTCTTTGCCTGCTTCTCTCTCCACGGAGTGTCTGGTGCCCACTGAAGGTGAGGCTGGCTCTTCCCTGTCCCTTGTCCCTGACCCCTGGTGCAGGGTCGCAAGTGCTTGGGGATGGTGCCTTTTCTTTGTGTCTCACATAACGGGCAGCCCCACTTACCTGCCCAGGTGCTGACTTGCTGAAGATGTCTCGCGATGATTTGGTCCAGATCTGTGGCCCTGCGGATGGGATCCGGCTCTTCAATGCCATCAAAGGCAGGTGGGTGTCAGTTTCCACCTAGAGGCAGGGTGTGGCAGAAAACTGGTAATGGGGCTCCTCTGTTACAAGTGCAGGAGGAGGCACAGTGAGGGGGCACGGGCCTGGTGGTAGCCAGGGAGTGAGTGAGTCGCTGTGACTGAGATGCAGCCAGCTGCAACTTATCCTGCCTGAATCCCCCTCCCTCTTCTCACTTTGACGAGAGCCTCGGCCTCTGGGTCTCGGCCCTTTAGCCACTTCCAGTTTGCCAGACACTTGCATGGGTCTGGGGCTTCAAGCAGCCTCTTCCTGCAAGGAAGCTGTGGGCTGGTTAGGCTACTCAACCTCATGCAATAGGTTTCAGGGAGGATTGTAGAGCAGTGCTGTATCTGATGGAACCTCCTGCCATGGTGGGAATGCCCTGCGGTGCACTGTTCTGTACCGTAGCCCAGCTAGCGATGACCGTGGGGCACTCGATCTAGGGCTAATGTGACTGACAAACTGAGTTTTAAATTAACTCTAATGAATTAAATTATAATAACTGTACATGGACAGCACAGTTTTAGAGTAAGAGAGAGCATCTGAGTTTGAGGCCCACATCTGCCTCTTTGAAGCTTTGCAGTTGGGCGAAAGCCCTTAATCCCGTGAGCCTTAGTTTCCTCATCCGTAGAATGAAGGTGGTGGTCCTTGCTCCCTCGTACATGGTGTGAGGGTGAAACAAGTTATTTGTATAAAGTTCTGATAATGGTGCCTGATACAGAGTAAGCCATCCTGAAAATGCCTCATATCTTGAGATTTGTGTTCTGGGCAAAGCCCCGTCTTAGCTTGGCTGAGATTCTGCTCCTGCCCCCACCACGAAAGGCATTCTGCACCCCCACAGCCTTCTTTCTTTCTCCTGAGTCCTTCCCAGCACTATGTCTACCCTGTGTTCTGGAACATTCTAGAACAACAGAGCTCGATCCCCCATATCTGCTATTAATTTCCTCTCTTGCCAGGAATGTGAGGCCGAAGATGACCATTTATGTCTGTCAGGAGCTAGAGCAGAACCAAGTGCCTCTACAGCAGAAGCGAGATGGCAGTGGAGACAGCAGTCTGTGTGGTGAGTTGTGAGGGGCCCTTTCCACCAGGGCCGGTTACAGGGCAGCAGAGGAACGGAAGAAACAACCCAGGTCTTCCCACTGAGGATGTTTTCTCTGTTCTGCCTCACTCTGGTTTCTTGCAGGATAAGTTTTGCTAAACTTCATCTTGGGATTGAAATGTTTAGGACAGAAGGCATCTTCCAGGATATCTCATCCAGTTTACTTATTTTATACCTGGGAAACAAGCCCACAAAGGGAGTGTGTCCCCCAAAGCTTGTGTTAGAACTGGGAATTGCGACTTCTGGCTCCCAGGAGGGTGACAAGTGGCACTCAATATTTGTAACCCTGGGAGTACTGTCTCCTGTGATTTTTCCCCTGCTGGGTGAGCCTTTGCCATTTGGTTGGTTGCTGCACGAGGGCTAAAAAGTGCAGCTAAAGGGTCTCGAAACACCTCAGAGACGTGTAACTTGGGTTGGCAGTTTGATGAATGAGAGGACACAAGTTTTGGGGTCAGCTGTCCTTGAATATCAGTGCTGGCCATGCCACCTAGTGGCCCGGTGGCCTTGGACAGGGTACCAGGGCCTGTGCATCAGCTTCCATGTCTGTGAAATGAAGATAGCAACCCCTACCCTGCAGAGATGTGACGTTTCAGTTAGACGACAGACACATATAGAGCTCCATAATTCTGAGTGTCCGTGAGTGCCAAGAGATTGATGAACCCCGTTCTCGACGTGCATAGTCAGTGCCCTGTGTATTGTCTGCAGAGAGAACACCCTGTTTGCCTCTTTGCAGGTCCCTCCGCTTTGGTAAGAATGCTTGACAAGTCCCTGTCTTAAGGGCTTTCCATGAATTCACTTATTTGTTTCCCATAGTAGCAACTGTTGCTAATATTGTTTCACTGTGGGGGAAACTTACCCACGAAGCAGTTGACTGGTCTAAGATGATAATGTTGTAAGTGGCAGAGCTAGGATCCAAATATCTGGACCCTGGCAGCTGGCTTCTGAGCCCTCAGTCTGGCCTCGGTACATGTCTGGTGAAGGTCCAGGTCTTCCCCCTGCTTTTCAGCTATCTGCCTGCAAAGGACAGAGACTATGTGCCGTGGTCTACCACATAAATGGAAAGGGCAGCCTAGTGCATGCTCAGAGCAGGTGTTCCACGCACACTGTGTGATTTATGGTGGCCCCGCCATGTAGGTGCTGGCAGCGCACAACCAGGGTTCCGGGAGGTGTAGAGATTGGCTGGGATCTTGCTTCTGGTGAGTGGCAGAGTTGGGATTTGAACCCAGGATTGCCTGATCTAGAGCCTCTTCTTTCCCCAAACTGTCCCCTCATCCTTCCACCCCGCACCGTGGCCCCTGAAGAGAGGAGGTACAACAGGAGTTCAGAGGAGTGGCCAACCCATGCTCTGGTAGCTCCAAGCACTCCTGGTGGCTATGCTCGGCTGGGGAAGGGACAGGTCTGGGACAAAAGGTTGCAACAAAAGGTGCCAGACTATAATCCTTCCAGTATTTTTTTTTTTTTTTTGCTAGCAGTCCAATTTGCTTAAAGAGTAAAATCTCTCTAAAAAGTCTCTCTAAAAAGTTGGAGAAAAGCAGTACAATTAGAATCCCATTATAAAGAGGAATCTTAGGAGAGAGGCCCGGTGTCAGTACTGGAAGGAGCATTGTGCAGGGGCCACATTTGCTGAGCAAAATCTAACAGTGGGTCAGCCTGTTTGAATCATGGGAAGATGGATCTATCATGTGGCTAGAACCCAGTGGCCTCTGCCACCCCCTGTAAAGGGAGCCGTGTGTGTGTGTGTGTGTCTATGTCTATGTGTACATGTGCATGTCCATGCTTTGAAAGTTGGGCCTCTGTTCAGAATTTTTTGAACAAAGTGTTTCTTAGTTGAAGGAAGAGTTTGGGGGTCTCTTGTTTAATCCAGCTGTGTTTTAGTTTTGAAGACCTTGAAGCCCCAAACACTGAGTAACCCACTCAGGTCTCCATGGAGTTCGCTCCTACCTGGATGGTTTGGGTCTGGTACAAAGAAGCATTTCTGGCCTCAGGGTCACTGTTAGCTTCTGACAGACTAATGACAGCCTAGTGCCCCGCATCTTCCTTTGCGGTCACAGTACTCCAGCAGACTATAATTTGTGCTGTGGAAAAGAGCTGGGACAAGACTCTCTCTCTTCTGCTTCAAGTAGCAATTATCTGAAAAGCTCACTCTTTGCCACCTGAAGCCATCCAGTAATTCCTTTAAATAGTGGAGAGAAAGGAGGTACACGTGTGTCCACACATCAGAAGCACTGGAAACTTGTTAGAAATATAGATTTCTGCTAGCCCTTCTACCTTCAGCTGCCACCCATAAATGGGTGTCATTGGGTCTGGGGTGGATCGAAGAATTCTGTTTTACGTAAGTCCCACAAGAGAGACTGAAACGGGGGGAGCGGGAGGGAACCACAGCCTGGCATCTTTTCACTTGTTGATGGGCTGCTCAGAGGCCATCGGCTTCTAGACTGTGCCCGTTACAGCCAGATCCCAAGAGTACAGTCTGAGCATGAACATCCTTACGAGCAAGTCACTGATTTCTTAGGGTGGGGTTGGGAGTAGAGGGTAGGTAGACTCCTTAAAAAGCAGGCGTTTGTTCTATAGAAGGACCTGTTTCTCTCCCAGTGTACCATGCCCTCTTCCTGGAAGAGCTGACTGCCTTGGAGCTGATTGAGAAGATCGCCAGCCTGTACAGCATCTCTCCACAGCACATCCACCGGGTGTACCGGCAGGGGCCCACGGGCATCCACGTGCTGGTCAGCAATGAGGTGAGCGCGGCTACCTGAACTGCCCTGACAAGCTGGGGATTTGGGCTCCTGGGAAAAGCAGCAGAACCTGCATCAGAAATGCCTTGTTGGGGGTTTGCAGATGACTTTGGCCCAAAGGATGGCAAACAGTTTTTATTCGCATGCCACCTGCCCTCAGCTGTGTTGCTCCATGGAGTGCCGTGAGGTAGAGAGTGCTGAGGCCACAACTGGGCTCTGAATAGCTATCGAGCGAGTATCTATCCCCTGTGTAACCCGTGCTTGAGCAGGTGCCTGCAGGAACCAGGAGCACAACTGCACCTCTGCACTCAGGGTGTTTACAGTGAGGGCTGCAAGAAGTCAGGAGAAGAGTGCTCACCCAGAGCAGGCAGCAGGCCCCAGTGAGGAGTGAAATGGACTGGGGGTTGGGCGATGGAGAAGATGTGGCTCCCTGGGGAGAACAGAGAGGTCTCTGCCGAAGGCTGCTGTCATAGCCTTCCTGGGCCCGTCACTGGCCAAGGGCACAGGTATTGAGCCAGGGCCCTGCTGGAACTGCCCTCGAGTGGTCTGACCCTACTCGTGGCTAAAGAGGGGTTACTAAATAGGTTTGTCGACACATTTAGGCATT